AGGTGAGGAGAGGAGAGAAGACATAGAATCCTGTGGAATTAGTAATATCATGGCACCTTTTCCGGATGCCAACTCAAAGAGCATAAACAAATAACACTGCTTTATAAATTTCATTGATCTTGGAAAAACACTTTTCACAAGAATGTACTTCATGTTTCAAAATATAGTTTAAGCCCTAGCCAGTTTGGCTCGGTGGCTAGAGCGTCAGCCTGCAGACTGAAGGGTCCCGGGTTCGATTCTGGCCAAGGGCACATGCCTGGGTTGTGGGCTCGATGCCCCCCAGTGGGGGGCATGCAGGAGGTGGCCAATTGGTGATTCTCTCTCATCATTGATGTTTCTGTCTCTCTATCACTTTCCCTTCCTCTCTGAAATCAATAAAAACATATTTTTTAAAAAATATATATATATATATAGCTTCAGAGTTGTAAGTTTTTGATGCTGTGGTAATAAGTGGATGTAATATTGGCACTTTTGCTTGTTTTACATAATGAAATTTAAGATGCCATTTTATTAAAATACTAGAGGGGTCCCTTTAAAATATATGTGGGGTCCCTTGACCTGGCCTGCCGGAATCGGGCCGAAACTGGCTCTCCGACATCCCCCGAGGGGTCCCAGGTTGCGAGAGGGCGGTTCTTGGGTGATGCACCCCGGAATCAGGTTCCCTCCTCTCTGGTTCTGTGTGTGCCACTCGAGAACCGCAGCTGCCAAGTCACCGCAGCTCGGCAGCTCATGTGTTGAGTGTCTGCCCCCTGGTGGTCCGTGGGTGTCATAGCTACTGGTCAACGGTTGCTTAGGCTTTTATATATATATAAATCAAATCAAATCAAATCAAATAATATTGATTTTAAAAATAAACAATGTACTTGGTAATATTACCCTGAATTTTATTGTAAAGTTTCTGTTCTCTTGACTTAACTTATGGAGAAGAGATTTAATATTTCCCTCTCCAATTATCCTGAATCCTAATTATGAATCTAGAAGGTGACTTTGTCTACCTACTTTCTGATTCACTGAACCTGGGCATTTTATAAATCACTATATAACTCTCAGTAAACATTTCCTACAAGACTGACTTGATGCTAAGAAAAGATACGCAAATAATAACCAGGTTCAGATGAGTGAGGGGCAATTG